ACAAAAAAGGAAAAAGAAAAATCCGTCCCTGTAAGTAACAATTTTGTTCAAGTAGCCTTTTTTTTTTTAGTGATTGTTCGACGGAACCCCTTGTAATGTTGAATATATAATAGGTAACGGGAGTCCAAGGAAATCGGTCCCGTCCCCGGAAATGAGTCTATAAGCGACGATAAGTGGGTCAGTAATTAGTTCAACACATCAAACTCTGTTACCGTCTTTTCAGAACAAATCATAACGGAAAATAATCCATATCATTTGCTTACTGTAAAACCTTCACATTCTCCAAAATTTCTTCCCCCATATCACGATACTATTCAATGCAAAAATAAAGTTTGGAGAGAGTTCGACTGCTGGAACGATTCATTGCAAAGTGCGAGGCCGACCCGACAATCCTCTCCGATCGTTTTCTGTATTTCTTCCGTGATTAATCTAGTAGTAAAGGTTCTCGTAAATACGTGTATATGAATGTTTAATTTTGTATGCATTCATGTACTAGTGTATATACTATGGGTACGTGGATATCAATTGGTGTATGTTTTTAGTCACCACGCTTTATACATACATACACAAACGCATTATTACACCCATAATCAAGAATTCAGATATAACCAAAAGGCCCAAAAATTGATGTCAGTTCTAATGAGGGTGGAATGTGCATTGCGACGATCTGTCGAGTAAATGTTGTGCTCTTGATATGAATTCTCTCTCTCTCTCTCTCTCTCTCTCTCTCTCTCTCTCTCTCTCTCTCTTCTTCTTCTTCTTCTTCTTCTTCTTCTTCAGGAACCGGGAAGACTATCGATATATTATAGAGTTAATGTTGTGCTATGTCAAATTGTTCTCTGTTTTAGAGAGCGTAGTGGGCATTGCGATCATTTAAGAAGTTGGTTTTGATATAATTTTTTGTATTCAATCTTGGAGGTATGGATAACTTCAGAGTTGATTTTGTGGTTTTGTTATGAATTCCATCTTCTTGTTTTCTTTTGTTATGTTCAGTTTTGGAGGGAAGACTATAGATAACTTATAGAGTTGATTTCCTGCTTTTGATGTGAAATTCATATAATTTAAGTGCGTGTAATGGGCATTGCAATAGTTGCTTTTGATATGAATTTTGTAATCTTGTGTTTTTCCCCTCCTTCAGTCTTGGAGGTAAGATAATGCATAATTTGTAGAGTTGCTGTGGTTTTGATATGAATTTTTTTCATCTCACTTTCTTTTGCTATTTTTGGGTCTTGGAGTTAAGACTGCATAATTTTTAGAGTTGATGCTGTGGTTTTTATATGAATATTGTAATCTTGGTTTTTTTGTTACTTTTCAGTCTTGGAGGTAAGATTATCTATAATTTGTGGTTTTGATTTGAATTTTGTATTTTTGTTTTATTTTGTTATTTTAAATCTTAGAGAGAAGATTAAACACAAACTATAGAGTTGATGTTGTGCTTTTGATATGAATTTTGTATCCCTGATTTCTTTTATTATTTTTCAGACTTGGAGGAAAGATTCCGAAATCTGCTTGGGATATTGAAGAGGTATATATTTTTTCTGCATCTCTGAATTATAATTTTCTCATATATATTTTCATCAGTTTGGATGATCATTCACATGGAATACGAATCACAACAAATACATGAAATTTAAAATTTAAAATTTACTATATATGAGAGAGGGTTTTGTTTTCTTTAAACACGAGATCTTTGAGCTCCATAAATAGGAAAATTTCTGTATACTTTGTACTGTGCCACTGGCTGGAGAAATCAAGAAACTAAGCCCTTGTTTGAGCCTCATTTTTGTCAAAAAATGCATTTTTGAATAGTGTATTGATGGGAAACGTGTGGTTAAAAAATAAAGAAAAGTTTTGAATTTGCATGTAATATTATTTTATTGAAAAAATGTGTAGTTGAAGTGGGGTCAAATCACTGTTGAAGAATGAATTTTGATGAAAAAATTAGGGATCAAACAATGGCTAATATGGTTTTAGGTTTGAGGTTCATGGTTCGTGGTTTGAGGAGTCACATTGAAATGTGAGTTTGAGTTTCTATGTTAGGGTATGGAGAGCACGGATGCCTCGTTGGGTGGATGAGACTTATGAGAATATGGATGGCATTAAGGATGAGCCTTGACTTGGTCAATATAGCAGAAGAAAAAGAACCTGAGATAGTAGGATTTGATATTGAATCCACGAAATGGTCTAAGAATTTCATACTTCCTTTTTTGATCTGACTGGCATTTTGTTTGTCCTATTCCAAAGTGAGATGAAGTTTTAGGAATTGAATTTTGTAGATGGGAGATCCCTCCGATGACATTACTGACAAAGACAGGAAAGCTTCTCAACAGTCTAAGATTCAAGCTATGGAAGCAATATCTGAAGGTAATACGTATGTACCTCCGTACATGTATATTTCTAAGAATAATGTTAGCTATGTATGCTGTTTTATATATTATGTACAAAAATGCCTTTTTGTTGTTCAGATAAGCTTGATGAAGCAATTAAGCATCTTACTATTGCAATTCTGCTTGATCCTAAATCTGCTAACATTCATGCAACTAGAGGTAAATCTCAAACTTTTTACAAATATTATAAATTGTGAAGGTTTAAATTGTAATTCAATAGCTCTTCTTTTGCACATTAAATGTTTATTTGCGGTTTGATTACTTGCAGCTAGTGTGTATATCAAAATGAAGAAACCAACTGCTGCTATTAGAGATGCCATTGAAGCTCTGGAGGTCAGCCATATATTCCATTTGCTTTCTAGCGAATATACTATTTTCTTCATGCCATTGAAATTAGCATGTTCATGCTTGCTAAAATCTGTGTGCATATGCACATGAAAGATTAGCATGTTCATGCATAAGTTATGAAATGCATTTCTGTTTCCACGCTCCATTTTACTATCTAGACATGAGTAGCAAAAGCATTAAATTAGAGCATGGACTATATACAACCTACATTGGTAACATACTCGGCACTAACTGCATTGCTTGCGTGTCAAGTCTAACAGCATTTTCTGCACGTAATGCTAATATATGGGCTGTTACACTGAAAGCAACTAAAATCCACAGAAATTTTCTGGAATCTCAATTTCTTTTTGTTAGGATGATTTTTATGTTACATAGGACAGTATTAATGTATTATACTATTATGTATTACTTCGCATTTCTTGCATAGTAACTCATACATATCAAAATGCCAATCACAGATCAATCCAGATTCTGGTAAAGGGTACAAATTCCATGGCATGGCACGAGCTATGTTTGGACAATGTGAAGAGGGCCAAGAGGTTGCTAAGGATCTTCATGTGACCTTAAAGCTGGACTATGATGAAGAAATCAATGTGGTACTTGAGAATTTTGGCCTTTACATATTGAGTTGCAACATGCACTTGTTGCATATTTTCCCTGCCTTAGACTAAAGAATTGTTGCTTGTGAGTTGTGACTATTCTTAAGTCTAAAAGAAATATTAAATGGTGGAATTTTCTCCCCTCGTCAATAAACATTCGTTTATTGTGATATGATTCTCGGTAAAAGGTTGATTTTGATGCACATAAATTTGAGGAACACCATCAGAGATATGAAAGGCTTCGCAAAGAGCAAGAGTACAGTAAAATTGAGCATAAGCGAGTACAAGACCGATTTAAGGCTCAGGTAAACTGCCTTTTCCCAGTTCTTTGTTACTGTATGATATCTATATATGGACTCTAAATTCCTCTTATAAATTCTGTTGTAGGCTGCACATCTAAAGGCTAAGAAGCAAGAGCAGTCTTCATCTAGTGGAAATCAGGGAGGCATGCCAGGGGGAATCTGGGGATTCCCTGGTGGAATGCCTGGAGGATTCCCTGGTGGAGTGCCTGGAGGCTTTCATGATAGGGGACCTGGAGGCTTTTCTAGTGGTATGCTGGGAGGTTTTCCAAGGAGTGTGTCTGGTTGGATTCCCGGAAATATCGACTACAACAAAATACTGAAAATACTGAATGTAATTATCATCCTATCTTTTGCTGAGTTTGTTCAAATAACCAGATAATCTGGATCATGCCTTCTGCAGCTCTGCTGATAATATCCCTTCCTGCTTCAGTATTATGTCATAGCTGTTCAGCAGAACATATTCATGGTTATTGTTGCACTTGTCAGTTGGAAAATAATTGCTCTTTTTTGCTTTTAATTGGGTAGGACCCTGAAATGATGGTAGCATTCAAAGATCGAGAAGTAATGGCTGCTCTTCAAGATGGTACATGAATTCACCCTCAAATTTATGTGTGTGCTCATGTATATATATTTATTCTACTGGAGAATGTTTTCCTTCCTCACTTATGATCACTTCATAAGATTTAGTAGCTTCATCGAATGATTTACCATGAAATATAAAACCCATAGAGTAAATATTCATACTCACATATATCTAGTTCTTTTGTTGTTCATCATGAAACTTTCTTGTGTATGTGTTCCTACCATTTCAAGTACTGTAATTGTATTTCATTGTAGAGTTTTCATATTCTCAAAATTAAAGATAGTTATATAAATAGGAGCTAATACAAATATAGAAATAAATATGATTAAAAACGAGGAAAAGCAGTTATCAGTGATAGTCAGATGTTTTTATCTGTTTTTATGTGTTGACTTTCATGAATGATTAATCTGCGTAGATAGTTGTGAATTTCAGTAACAGCTAAAGAAAAGTTTACAGTTGAACTTACCCAAAAATTGCTAAGTAGGGAAAACGAAGTAGTTTAACTTATGTTATTGATGATGATTATATAGTGTCTTTGTTCATAGGGTTGCTCTCCCCTTGTTCTTTCATGTTGTGTTTTTTCAATCTTACCATCCATGACTAATCTAGCACCCGCCTCCTAAGACCTTCATAAAAATTTTGTGATGGTGAATATGATAATTATTTGATACATTCAACTTTATTTAATTGAATAAGATAATTATTTAATTCTATCACAGGTTCAATATTCAAAAGCAAAGTTTTAAAAGGTGCAAGATGTGAAGGCGACTTTTATTCTATTTTAATATTCTAGACCAATAAATAAATAAAATAATGTATACTTTGAAAATTTATAAAAATTTCATACATATTTGGATTGCCTCTGTTTATTTGTGAATTTCACGGTTTGGTTTTCTTCTTGTTCTTGTTTTATTTAATCCCCTGCATAACATCGTTTAGAATTTCTGGCCCTTAGTAGGGCATTGACATAAGTTTGAAACTAAGAGTTATAATGATCTAGTTTGCAGCAAAAGATAAGCCTCTCTGGGAAAAAGGAAACAATATACCTGGGAAGCTACTCAACTGATGGACGATGGAAAGTTTCAGCATTTCATAAATCTTTTAGTGCCTCAACCTCAAATAGGTCACACAGGTTCCCAATCATACTTTCTATTTGCCAACCCTTTCAACGTTACAATTTGAGGCATCTAATTGTATTCGAGATTCATGCAAGCATCCACACTCCTAAGCCTTTCAGGTCAACCAATGGGGTGGTTGTCTCGTAGTTAACTAACACGCTTGTCCCACCTATTATGACTTCATAACTGAATATTACTTAAAGCTTCCGCCACTGTAATTTCTCTTCCTTAACATCTCGTCCCTTTATGCATCTATTAGCTAAGTTCTGATCTGAGCATTATTTGTCACACTATGACTCAATGGGTGGATAAGTTGAAGAACCCAAAGATTCCTTGCCTTGCCTATGCGGTTGAGAAGATGGAGCAAGGTAAGTTAATGGGGGTAGCTGAGACTTCTTTTCAATAGTTGAAGAAGTTTTCTCCTAAAAGCTTGCTCTAGTGGAAGTTGGAAATTTGATATGGATAAACTAACATAATTATGGGTAGTCAGTGTAAGCTACTTTTGTTTAGACTGTCATTTTACGATGATATTCAAGATTATTGTTGCGTCTCAATTTGTCTATAAGCATTAAGCTGGTCTCTGATCAGATTTATGTTTTGTTGGATGTTGGCATTTTTGTATTGAACTGTTTAATTTGGGGAAGAATGTCGCAGTTTTTCACTTAATGAAATATCTTATGTCGTCAAGAAAGACTAGTGCTGTTCTTACTATTTCTGATTTTGCTGATTATTTTGCAGTAGCGAAGAACCCCGCTAGTCTCACAAAGCATCGAGCAAATCCCAAGGTGGCTCCAGTTATTGCGAAAATATTTGGACCAAGCAAACTTTAAGTTTTTAACGTGAACGGGAGGGTCAACTTCGAGAGTCAAAATGTGATTACCTTTGTTATGCTTAGAGAGACTGTTCGGTCTTACCTATTTGTACAGCAGATGTTATACAGTTGATAATTGACAAACTAGAGTAACGTGATATAAATTTGTAAATCTTGAGCTTACCCACAAGGCTAAATATTGTTGGGAATTCTAGCACCGAGTGCTTCACTTTTACATGGTAGAATTAAGACTTAATTGACCATTTGGTCTAGAGGAGTTTTGTGCGTAATCTTGCATTTGTTTGAAAGAAAATTAAACAACGTGGCTTAGTTATGATAACTTTTAAGTATACACTTTCTTCGTTCCTTGTTATATTTCAAAATAAGATAATTGTATATTCCCTTCATCCCATAAAGATAGTTTTTTTTTTTTTTTTCCCCAAATTACATATCACTTTGCTTGTTGAACATATAATTAATATCTTAATTTTTACAGACGCGAGGGTTCCTATACGTGGTGAATATCCTTTTCCATCATATTGCTCCAGGAAAGACTTGTTCACGTAACATGCTGTATACATTCTCCCTCATAAAGAGCAGAAGTATAACTTGTCCATTTTCAAACCTGATATATAACGGGAATGTAAAGATATGTACTCTTTCTGATGGGAAATTTTGGACACGTGAATAAAATGAAATATGCGGGAGAGACATAATTTTGTGCACTTCTGTCATGTTATGAGCTTGTTAGTTGTTTGAAATTCTATCTTTTTCCTTTATTTTTTTCTGTTTCGCAAATTTTCACTTTGTTGGGCACCCTAGAGCTCCATATAGCATGTTTGGAGTGGAATCCCTGAAACTCAAACCAGATCAAATATCACTACTAAAAGGGGCTTCACCGACAGAATATCCATCGATGAAGCTTGTTTTTGGGTGAGAAATGACTAGTTCCGAGGATAGACGCAGTCGAAAAGTCGTTTGTGATACTCCAATCGGTGTCGCCGAGCTTTTTTAGTAATGCATTGTGTATTGGCCAATCTGACTCGGAGTTCATAAAGTTTATAAGATAGTTAAACATTCAGTAGAAGCCAACAATGTTCATGTGGCATCTTTTTCATTACCAGATAAATTACCTACGATTCCTATCTTATTATCTTTTATATTAACTAGAAAAAATTGTCAATGGACTCAAAAATAATGTTAATAAAACAAAATCATATCGTCCATATTTCACAAAAACATTGTCACTGTCAACTTTTAGTGTGTAACAAAAATCTGTAGAGGTCTAAACAAGAATAATGTTGCCAAGTACAATAAGAAAATAAAAATCCTATGATGATGATGTAAAACCAATTATTTGTGGCCCATGTAATATTAAAGAATTAATTAAAGGTGATTAATATTACTAAAATCCTATTGGCCCAATTGAGAAATGGTAATTTTATAATTGTCTACTTTGATGGAAAGTGGGGAGTTTTATGGCACATATGAGGTTGCCTCTCTCTGCCTATAAATGTGAATGAAACCCATCAATTAATTCATTCAATAAAAGAGAGAGAAAATGAGAGAACGGTTTCTTTAATTTAACAGTTTATTATTTTGCAGATCTAAAATTCTCAATTATTGCCATGGAACAAGGTATGTTTCTTGATCAATTAAATTCATATGTGAAAATTATGAATTCTAAAGATCTTGTTATTAGGGTTTAATGTCTTACATGTGGTATCAGAGCCCGGTTATGGAATTTATGATTTTTCTTTAAAGATTATGGTTTTCTACTTATAGATCTTTAATTTTTATTATAAATTTATGAATGAAATATGAAATCAGATTCAAGATCTAGATTCTGTACTGTCTATTTTACCAGAATTAAATCTGCTATTAGGAGTTTCTGTTGAAATTAATCGCTGTTATATGCATATGGCAGTTCATTGCGTATTTAAATTCTGGTTCTTCATGGTTCTTTTTCATAATTCTGTGAAGTGGTTGAAAAGGGCATAAAAAAATTAATTAATTAAATGTGTGTCAAAATGATCCAGTACACGCCACTATATCAATTGACTTTGTTTCAATTGTTTATTCCAATTCCCAAGAATGTCAGAATTATGGTGTGATATATGGGGAATTGTGTACGGTAATTGCAGAAAGAAATTTTTTGAAACTTTGGAATATATATGCTAGGTAATTAACGTTGGATTCAGACATTGACCCCAAATTTCAAGATTGATAATTATGTATTTTGGGTCATTAAATGAGGCTTGATGAATTTGCTATCGTCCTGTTCACACACACACACACACATATTCTACCGTTATGCTAATAGTCAAAGGATGGATTTATTATGCATTTTGATAGTAGATGATGACATGTAATACTTGAATAAACAGGATAATAATTTAAAAATATTAAATGATAAATATTTTATTTATGTACTTAATGTTTGATTAATGTTGTTTGTTAGTCACCAAAGTGGCCAAACATTATGGTATTTTGAACGCTAAATTACATAATTTATTTATCAATTACTCTTGATAGTTTGATGCTTGTAAATGAAAATGACTTTATTATTGGTGTCAAGAGTATATTGACATTCAAAGATTATAAAATTATTATGGATCGCCCAAAGGTTGATCAGTTAATTTTATTAATCTTGAACATGATCGTTGTTAATTGATTTACTTGGTCGGATGTGTTTTGTATATCTAAAGATATCATACATGTTTGATTAGAGTATGTTTAATTACCAATTAAGTGAAATTTAATTAACATCATTATATTTATTATGATGGTATAACGTAATATCATCCAAAGGAGAATTACGCTATACATTTATTGTTATCTGAATTTGAAATTAAGACTCAAAGTATTAATGTTAGATCATTTTATATTTTGCAGTATCTGTTCCCGTTTCTCTGCATTCGCATGCTTCATCTGTACCACTGTTCAACGGGCTAAATTTCTCTGACTGGTGTGAACAAGTTCAGTTCAACTTAGGTGTTTTGGACTTGGACTTGGCACTTCAAGTTGAGAAACCTACTGATCTTACTGATGAGAGCATTGCTGATGAAAAATCTGTCCATAAAGCTTGGGAAAGGTCAAACAGATTAAGCTTAATGTTTATGTGGATGACCTTAGCAAAGAATATCAAGTCTACTATCCCTAAAACTGAGAATGCTAAGGAATATATGAAGTTTGTGGAAGAACGTTCCCAAACAGCTGACAAATCACTTGCTGGCACACTAATGAGTACCTTAACCACCATGAAATTTGATGGTTCTCGTACCATGCATGAGCATGTTACTGAAATGAGTAACATTGCAGTAAGACTTAAGACTCTTGGGATGACTGTGGATGAGAACTTTCTGGTAAAATTTATCATCAACTCTTTGCCTCCCGAGTACGGTCCATTCCATATGAACTATAATACCTTAAAGGATAAATGGAATGTGAATGAATTGCATAGTATGCTCGTGCAAGAGGAGACAAGGCTTAAGAATCAAGGAACTCATTCTGTTCATCTCGTAAGTCATCAAGGAGCTGGAAAGAAATATAAGAAAAGATCTGGAAATGGCATTAAGTAAGGACCACAAAAAATAAATGAGTCTTCTGCCCATATCCACAATAAGGAACACAAAAAGGATACGTGTCATTTCTGTCGCAAACCTGGGCACTATAAAAAGGACTGCCTAAAACGTAAGGCATGGTTCAAAAGTAAAGGTAAGATTATTTCTTATGTATGTTTCGAATCTAATTTGGCAGAAGTTCCTTATAATACTTGGTGGATTGATTCCGGATGTACCACTCATGTTACTAATACGATGCAGGGATTCCTTTCAACCCAGACCATAAATCCAAATGAAAAGTTTGTCCTCATGGGAAATCGAGTCAAAGCTCCAGTTGAAGCCATTGGAACTTATCGTTTGATTTTAGATACTGGACATCATTTAGATTTATTTCAGACTCTATATGTACCTTTTATTTCTCGTAATTTAGTTTCCTTATCAAAACTTGATTCTGTTGGATATTTCTTTGATGGTGGAAATGGATGTTTAAATTTGTTTAAACAAAATCATCTTATCGGTTTCGCTATTCTTTGTGATGGCTTATATAAATTAAAGCTTGACAACCTCTTTGCCGAGACTCTTTTGACCTTGCATCATAATATTGGTACTAAACGTGGTTTAATGAATGAACGATCTGCTAACTTGTGGCATAAACGTTTGGGTCACATATCTAAGGAAAGGATAGAAAGATTAGTAAAGAATGAAATCCTTCCTGACTTGGATTTTAGTGATCTTGAAACTTGTGTGGATTGTATTAAGGGTAAACAAACCAAACACACAAAGAAAGGAGCCACAAGAAGCACACAGCTTCTTGAGATAATACATACCGATATATGTGGGCCTTTTGATGTTTCATCATTTGGTGGGGAAAAGTATTTTATCACCTTTATCGATGATTTTTCACGTTATGGTTATGTCTATCTACTACATGAAAAGTCTCAAGCTGTAAATGCTTTAGAGATTTTTGTCAATGAAGTTGAATGACAATTAGACAGAAAGGTGAAAATTATTAGATCTGATAGAGGTGGTGAATATTATGGAAAGTATGATGAAATTGGACAACACCCAGGTCCATTTGCTAAATTTCTTGAAAGACATGGCATATGTTCTCAATACACTATGCCAGGCACACCACAACAAAATGGTGTGGCTGAAAGGCGTAATCGTACTCTAATAGAAATGGTTAGGTGTATGTTAAGAAATTCTTCTTTACCCATATCTTTGTGGATGTTTGCATTAAAGACTGCTATATATCTACAAAACAGGGTTCCTAGTAAGGCAGTTCTAAAGACTCCTTTTGAACTATAGACATGAAGGAAACCTAGTTTAAGGTACCTGCATATTTGGGGTTGCCCAGCAGAAGCAAGAATTTATAATCCACATGAAAAGAAATTGGACTCAAGAACAATCAGTGGATTTTTCATTGGTTATCCAGAAAAATCAAAAGGGTATAGATTTTATTGTCCTAACCATAGTACTAGAATTGTTAAAACTGGAAATGCTAGGTTCATTGAGAATGGTGAAGTTAATGTGAGTTTTGAACCACGAAATGTGGAAATACAAGAAGTTAGAGTTCAAGTTTCTCTGCCCTCAACTTCTTCTAATGTTGTTGTTCCTCAAATTGTTGAACGACATGAAAATTTATCTGAACAACAAATAAATGGTCAAACACCTCACAATGAAGTTGCCACCGATAAACCTGCATTAAATGAACCACAAGAAATAACATTAAGAAGGTCACAAAGACAACGTAGACCTGCTATTTCTGATAATTGTGTGGTTTACCTGCAAGAGTCTGAATTTGACTTGGGAATTGTTGATGATGATCCAGTTTCATTTTCACAAGCCATTGAGAGCGCTAATTTTGATAAGTGGTTAGATGCTATGAAAGATAAGTTAAAATCTATGGAACATAATGAAGTCTGGGATCTCGTTGAATTACCAGAATCATGTAAAAGAGTTGGGTGTAAATGGGTCTTTAAGACCAAGCGCGACTCTAAAGTAATATCGAACGACATAAAGCTAGACTTGTTGCCAAAGGTTTTACTCAGAAAAGTGGCATTGATTATAAGGAGACATTTTCACCAGTCTCTAAGAAAGACTCACTCAGAATTATAATGCTTTAGTAGCTCATTATGACTTAGAACTACATTAAATGGATGTGAAAATCGCCTTTCTAAATGGAAATTTAAATGAAGAAGTTTATATGGATCAACCTGAAGGTTTTTCAGTTAAAGAAAAGGAACACATGGTATGTAAGTTAAAGAAATCAATATATGGACTTAAACAGGCTTCCCGTCAATGGTATCTCAAGTTCAACGATACCATTACTTCCTTTGGATTTAAGGAAAACGTCGTTGATCGATGTATATATCTGAAGGTCAGTGGGAGCAAGTTTATATTTCTGATTCTGTATGTTGATGATATCTTGCTAGCTACTAATGATTTTGGTCTATTATACGATACTAAGAAATTTCTCTCTAAAAATTTTGAAATGATAGACATGGGAGAGGCAACCTATGTAATTGGAATTGAAATATTCCGTGATAGGTTACAAGGGTTGTTAAGGTTGTCTCAGAAAGTATACATCAATAAAGTTTTAGAGAGATTCAATATGAAAAATTGTTCAGCGAGTGTTGTTCCAATTCAGAAAGGAGACAAATTTAGTCTCATGCAATGTCCTAAAAACGAATTGGAACGCAAACAAATGACAGCTATTCTTTATGCATCTCTTGTTGGGAGTTTAGTGTATGCTCAGACTTGCACCAGACCAGACATCAGGTTTGCTATTGGAATGCTGGGCATGTATCAAAGTAACCCGGGACTTGATCATTGGAAAGTTGCAAAGAAAGTATTGAGATACTTGCAAGCAACGAAAGATCACATGCTCACTTATATGAGATATGATAACTTGGAGGTCATTGGATATTCAGATTCGGACTTTGCTGGATGTGTGGTTACTAGAAAGTCCACATTTGGCTATTTGTTTCTCTTAGCTGGAGGGGCTATATCATGGAAAAGTGCGAAGCAGTCAATCATTGCTGCATCCACTATGGAAGTCGAGTTTGTGGCATGCTTTGAGGCCACAGTTCAAGGAAATTGGCTGCGGAACTTTATTTCAGGACTTGGGATCGTCGATAGTACAGCCAAGCCATTGAAACTTTATTGTGATAATTCTGTAGCAGTCTTCTTTTCAAAGAACGACAAGTACTCTAAAGGTGCTAAGCACATGGAATTGAAGTACTCTGCCGTTAAAGAAGAAGTTCAAAAACAAAGGGTGTCAATCGAGCATATTAGCACCAATCTTATGATTGCAGATCCATTAACAAAAGGATTGCCACCAAAGACATTCAATGAACATGTCGAAAGGATGGGCATTATTGAAAATTATCATTAACATTATTATGCAATTTATGATGCTTATGTATTGACATTTTGGGCTCATGTATGTATTGTTTTTGACAAAATATTATTCCTGTCATAACTGTTGGTACATGTACGTGAATGAATTATGCAAATGCTGACAGGGATAGTCTTTTCGAAGACATTATTGTAATGCAATTATCGAACTTCTCATTATGTGTCATGTTGGGTAGGGACTAATACTGTAGTACATGGAAGGAATTATGCTTAAATGATGGTGTAAAACCGCCATGACTCTTATTAGTCTTTACTTAAGGATGATATATTAAGTGACCAATGTATGATGGATTTTAGCTAATGGTATGCGCATTATGTTATATACCACATAACAAAACAATATTACACGGACCAAGTGGGAGAATGTAAAACCAATTATTTGTGGCCTATGTAATATTAAAGAATTAATTAAAGGTGATTAATATTACTAAAATCCTATTGGCCCAATTGAGAAATTGTAGTTTTATAATTGTCTACTTTGATGGAAAGTGGAGAGTTTTATGGCACATAGGAGGCTACCTCTCTCTGCCTATAAATGTGAATGAAACCCATCAATTAATTCATTCAATAAAAGAGAGGAAAAGTGAGAGAACGATTTCTTTAATTTAACAGTTTATTATTTTGCAGATCTAAAATTCTCAATTATTGCCATGGATCAAGGTATGTTTCTTGATCAATTAAAATTCATATGTGAAAATCATGAATTCTAAAGATCTTGGTATTAGGGTTTAATGTCTCACAGATGATATGGCGAGGCCTTTAGACGGTATGGCATGGTAGGACTCCGACTTGGCTGCCCATTCTAAATCCACCAGCATGGCCTGGAAATAGGAGGAACAGGCCATGTCCTTCATATTAGGAAGCAGTACAAGGGCTTCCACAACTTCACTCATCAGAGTTCCAACTTTTGCATCACGGCTAATACATAGAGCCGCCAATTGAGAGTGATTGAGAAATGACCCTGAAGACGGAGTCTATGAGCTTGTAGAACCTTCTTCTCTCTCTGAGATATGGCCTTGCCCATTCAACCAAGTTATGTTCCCAATTTGGTTTCGTTTTATCCATAGATCTTCTTGCAGTCAACGTTTGAAGCAAAACCACACCAAAGCTATAACGGTCACTATGCCATTAGATATCCTGGCACACAATTAAGGTACTAAAATTTGGCTTCTTTTAGGTAGACATCCTTATTTTTGTACCCTGTTCCAACTTTAAGAGAATTTTATGAAATGTTCAATATTAGACTTTTTACCCATGAAAATTTAATTATTACTATAATTTGTAAACCTCCGATGGTGAGGCCGATTTTAAATGCATACGCTAGATTTCAGGACATTAAAAATGTCACCCCTCTCTCTTATATATTGTCACACATAGTTCCCATAATGATGTAAATTATTTAGCTAGTAACTATGACATAATTCATCTTTCATGTAATTGTTATGCAGCACACTTAAACAAAAATAGGGAAATGAAAGTTATGAAAATGTATTTATATTAAGAGTAATGTTACATGTACATAAGGAGTTACGAAATGTTTTACATATAGATAAGCTGTCAAAAAGAGAGTGAAAAAATTATTTTTTATTTTTTTTTATTTGGTGAAGAAAATTCTAACCCGATCATATTTTATTACATCATGTGTATGTAAACCAATTTGTAAATAGTGATGTTTATGTATGACAACCGTTATATTAATTTGTTGAAATAATTTTTGGAATACTTTTACGACATAAAGTGATGATGATCAGAGATAGATACAACAAAGCGCAGAAGACAGTAGCCAACAATCCTTTCTTACACAAAGAAATGGACTATGAGAACAAAGATGAGATAGCAATGACTTTACAGCTTAAAGAAGAGCAAATCGCTGCATGAAATGACAGTGATAATATTTTGTTGACCTTTTTTGTTCATGTAAATAATGAACGCTAAGACTGAACTCCTGTCTAGTGCCTGCAGTATGAATGGTGGAATTTTTTTAATGATGTATAATTAATTTTCCTTTACATTTTTCTGTTTGGCAAATTTTCCACGTGATCTCGATAGCATGTTTTGGGAGGATCGAACGGCGAACAGATCAAACATTGTCTTACGGTCAATTTGAATCGAAACTGATTAAATTCCAATTATTCTTTACTCTACAATTCGTGAATATTGTCTAATGGACAATTTGAATTGGAACTGATAATATTTGGTGATACTTTAATTGTAAAATTCGTAAGAAAGTTAAATATTTACTCTAAAACATTAACAAAAGAATTATGTAGGACTCAAAATTGATGTTAACAAAACAATGTATGTCTATATTTCACCAAAAAAAATTGTCAATTACTATTACATCAGTTAAAAACTCTATAAGCTAATTAAACAAGCACGATGTTGCCAAGTACAAAAAGAAAATTATGATACTCAGTACATCTTTCGTTTCTTTGTCTCCTTCTTTTCTTGTTCTACGATCTTTTTATGTTGTAATCTTGAAGCACTCCGAGTTTCTTCCTTACGAGTATCTGAATAAGTTGCCTCCACATTTATGTCATCTGCATCATCAGTAAACTTCTTGGGATCATAGCGAACTGTCCTAATAATTTCAATGGCTTGGTCGTCGTCATCATCATCATCTTCATAGACTACTTGTCTTCTCTTTCGAAATTGACCTTCCAAATTTGATCTGCCTGAATTCTTGAACCTTGATTCTTTACTCCATGGTTTAGAGGATAACACTTGTGGTTTTGGTATAGCTGTCCCGCTTCTTGATACCTCGTATTTCTTCTTCGGCATTGAATCACAAGATTTGGAAACATTCTTAACCATCCAAGGATTAGGTTTTATCCCAGAACCGTGAAACATATCATCGTCGGATGATAAAAACGAATAATCCCTTGAAGATTTAAGCCACTCCACCTTCTCTTTGTCTATTGTCATCTTCGCCTTATTGGACTGACGCTTTTGCTCCAATGATTTCTTTTGCTTCAGTTTTGGAACTGCTTTCTCTATTAATTCGTAGTTCAACCAAGGCTTCCTTTTTTGAACTATCCTCTCGGGAGAAAAAGTCTTGGAAGGTCCAGAAAAGGAGCAATCGGCATCATTAAATGAAACAACTGCATTCTCTTTACTGCAAGAACCGGCCATGGATTCTTTCTTGAGCGGAATCCTGCGTATTTCTCTTCCTTCTAGCCTTAATACCAAATACGTCATGATTCAGAAACAACTTTTGAGAGTACCAGCAATTCACAAAAATCTGAAAACCTGAATTCTAGTTTGTGATCACAGAAAGCAAAAGGAAATTGAAATTTAAGATGGTTAATGTGTACGAGAGATATATGAATATATAGTAAGAGGAAGAAGTGGATATAAGAAGCTGAGTTTGATTAGGATTACAATCATGTTACTCGAGTAGAGTTTTAAAATAGGGGTTTTGACAGGTGGTAGCACTGTATAGTTTTTTTTTTAACGGTCCATTGATGTTGCGCCACGTATGTCTCTATTTTTTGACCCAATCACTAAACTTGCCACTGTAGCAAAACTCTTAGGATTAAGAAAACTTTCATAAATTAAGCTAGGTGTATGTACATCTTATTTAACAATCCCTATGTGCAAAAAAGCAGGTTGTTGTTTGAAAAAGGTATTGTTAAAATTAATGTCCAAAAATCTACTAACTCACATGAATATCAAACTAGGTGTCAATCAAGATATAAATGTAGCATGATTGAACTTTCCATAGCAGAAATAAGAAGGGGAGTTTGTTGAGGATTAAAGAAAAACTATCCATAATATTTCTTCACTGTTATTTTTTCAATTTAGATATATATATATATAGAAATAATTATACTGAAGTTTTCATAACAATGTTCATGTATTATTGTTTTTTTATGTTTTAAAGTTAAATACTTTTACTTGAGGAGATTCAAAATTCACATTTTGGCTTTCGATTTAAAATTTAAAGGAACTCATCTATTATATACGAGAACTACCCTTCATGTTATTTCACCAATTGTGGTTGAAATTTGTAAGAAAATTTTCAAATTGGTCATTACAGTATTTTTCTAGTTTTATTAGTCATTGAAGTTTATAGTGGTATTATAAGTGATCATTCGATTTAAAATGTTAATGTAAAATCTATCTATAGAGGGCCCTACAAGTTTTGAACTCGCCACTAAAAGATTCACATGAAAGGAAACGAGGAATTCTCAAAGAAAATGTGCTTTGTAAACTAAATTATCACCGTTTATTATCACATTAGACTAAAAGACATCAGAATCACCTGGTAATCCAATGATCATTGGAAAGAACTATCAAATTTATCATTCATTAAATAACCTAACCTTAACCCACAATAAATAGAAGGGAAAATGTGAATTCCAAGCCAAGTAATCCGAATCATCATTTATTTGCTCCACTACGACACTTAATGTCAACACGTCCATTTTTCTAATTAGAAGACCATTTCTGAACCATTAGAAATTTGAGTGACTAATGTATTAGAAAAATAATTTGATTACCAATTTTTTCTTACAAATTTTAAGAACAATTAATGAAATTAATTCCATGTATATGACCCCAGTATCATTCCAAGCCCATAAGAGCAAACAAAATAGAAGACTATATATCGTTTTAAACGGAAGCACATGTCAAATACGCGACTTTCGTTGAAATTGGAGGGAACGGAATCCTTTCTGGACTGGCTACTGTATTACGAAGGATTAGCAACGGCCGTGTTCTTCCCTTCAACTTGTTCCGTTGCTAGTTGGGGAAATTACAGATTGATCTATTATACATTCAATAGTATATATGAAAATCAAGGAGAGAAGAACTCGATTACACAGCTCCCATTTCGTTACAATTGCAATATGTGCGTGTAGTTCTTCTTCGATTTCCCTAAGAAAGTGTGGATGTGAATGGGGAACTAGTTGCTTCTTCAAGTTGCTTGTTTACAATTTTTTACACTTCAAGTTGTTTCAGTCAATCTCAGATGCAGCAAAAGGACTTGTTTCGTGATATCGCTTATTGGGAATTTGGGCCCATTTCACACAAATTCTCTACAAGGATCCTCTTCCGAAAAAGATCAAGAATAACTGAAACATAAAAATTGGAAAAGAATAACTCAAATGAGAACACAAGAACTTATCTAGAAAATTATAAAACTTGGGAAAAAAATGTTTGATTTGTCATTATGAAAAACTGTTTATCAAAACAAAAAATTAGAAAACGCATTTGGTTTAAAAACTTTAGAAATAATTTTACGGCATTTTGTCGGAGCACCAGAAGAGTGAGATAGGGAGAGGGAGAGGGAGAGGGAGAGGGGTATTTGTATTTGGGTAAATTTTGTGTGATGTTATTAATTATTTTAATTTGGAAAATTTTTAAGCTCATTTTCCTTGTTTTGAGTATTTTTGAGTGTTTATTGAAAACACTCAAAATGTCAAAAAGTCATTTTGAATTTTATGTTATAAAATTTTCCTTGTTTTCAAAATTGCATTTTTGAAAATAATATACCAAACATGTTCTGAGTGTTTTCAAAAATTGAAAAACGAAAATGACCTCAAAATGACAAACCAAACGCATTTTAATTGTCTTCCATTTTCTCTTTCTTTCTACCCCTGATAAATTGCCTCGGCAATTCTTTTATTCCAGTTTAGCCGTTTAGGTCAACTATGAAGAAATATTTTTAAATTATATTACTTATTTAGTTATTATCCTGTCCATAATGTATTAACAACGTCTACATCTATAATAATAATAATAATATCAAAATGTGTGGATGTTGAATAAATATTTTGGATCACACTTTTGCCCTTAATTTTTTATTTTATTTTATTCTGTGTACATCACTGAACTTTACCGAATGTTATCCAATAGGTCACTAAACTTCAAAAACTACCCAGTTAGTCACTGAACTTTCGAAAATGCAACCCCACCCATCACCCAACTAACGTCTGTTAAAAAAACTGACGGGAGTGATGATGTGGCATGTTTGTGGGAGTAAATCTGGAATTGAAAACACGATTTTAACACCCAAAAAAAAACCCCCCAAATTCGTCAAATAAAACGCCCAGACCGTCCTCACCCCTTCAATACCCCAAATTTGTCAAACTCAACTCCTCCAAGGCTGGAACCCTCTTCCCCGTCGCCAGCCGAAAATGAGAGGCGGTGGCTGTCCACGAATGTCGCCTTCCCCAGCCCATAGCCACCGAGCTCAGCCGCTTTTGTCGAAATCAGCAGGCCAATCGTTTGAAAACAACGCATTCCCAAATTTCAAGCCCTTTTTTCGACGTCGGTGGTGGGACTCATCATGATACATCTACTGATCATATGGGTCTTCCTCAATTTGGGGTTGAAATGGCAGTTAAGAAATGACGCAAGCGTGTATTCACCGGTCCGATCCCTTTCAGTTGGCAGACCTCTCAATTTCACGAGCAAGTGTCGGTTGGTGAGTGCTATCCACTGTTGGTATTGAACAAGTGGTTGCTAAATCTGTGAAGTCTACCTTATCGAAAAAAAACTGTGAAGTCTAGTGGTGGAAGTGTATGCCCTGATGAGTGGTGAATCAACGAGTACTCCAAAACCTCGTGTTGCTGGAGTCTCTCATTCTTGGTGAATCAATGAGTACTCCATTTGAACTGAATGGAGGTGTATGATCATTCTTGGTATTGTAATGTGCAGTTTGTCAATTGTGGTATGGCTATGTTGTGTTATGTGGTGTAGAGAAGTGTTGGTTAGCTAGCTGAATGTGTTGTAGCTGTGGTATGGCTATGTGGTGTCAAATGTTTGGAGAGCCAATGTTGGTGATGATATTGAATAATACAGTTTTTTCCCCCTAGTGGTGTAAGTTGAATGCTTGTAATTTGTTTAATGTTAAGCTTTGTAAATGTTAGTTATAATTTGTTTAATGAATGACCAATTGCAAAATTACATGAAAGCTGTACCAAAAAAGATTAAAGGAGACTAACAAAAATATTGCCATACATGACAAACAAACTGCAAATACATGTGGAAAGGTAGCTAATGGCCACTAGCAAAAGAATTTACACTGTTATTTTGTAGCTACTGGTTTTGCTTAATAGACAAAAAAGACAATATTGTTATAGCATACTAGCATCCTAGCATTGTGCAGCAACATTTTAGCAGCCCAAAATAACAAAGACAAAAATAGAACTGGCTTCACTTCTTGCATCCATCTTCTTGATCCAGCACATTATATGGCAACACTAGCTTCCATCCTTAACCCTTTTTCAGCATTCAGTATCTGGGGGGTCAACCTGAGAAGTGTATTTATGTAAGTGGACTTTCAAAGCAACCCAATGTCACCATAACAAATGCAAAAGTAGATGTACATTTGTTTACCTCATGTGCAGCTGTCTCGATTTGTGTTGCGTCTTTCCCTTTATGGAACCGTTTGTTATGCCCCTTCTCCCCACAAGTCGAGCATGTCATAAAAACAACACCCTTCTTCTTCAATGACACTCATGATTGTGACTGCGATTGTGATTGTGATTGAGAGGGTTCATTCTCCTCAAGCCCCTTCCTTCTTTTTGTTTGTTTTCTGCCTTTTGTAGCAGTGTACCAAGGTGGAGGCAAGACAGGGGATTGGTCACTCTGAGGCCACAATACTTGTCCGTTCATAGGAGACATAACATGTTCATAAATGGTGTTGTATGTTTCCACTGTAAACCATTCAGACACATAATCTTTTATCTCGTGTCCTTTGTCGAAGATGCAAGCAATTACATGTGGACACGGAATCCCAGCTATGTCCCATCTTCGACAAGCACAAGTTCGATTCTCCATATCGACTACATATTCGCCATCCGAACACTGCGCTTGATATTGATTTGCCCCATTCCAACTCAAGGTGCATTCATGGGATGCATCAACATGCTTTTCCAGAATCTTTTGGATTTTAGGGCATATTGATTTGTTGTAGTTTCTGAGTTTGTCTCGCTTCATTTGAATTCTATGCATCAACTTCGTTTGAATGCCTATCAACATTGCAAGTATTGATTTCTCTCTCTCCTCAAGAATAAATTTGTTGAAGCATTCACAGGGGTTGTTAAGCAGCATCTCGCACTTTGACTGATCCGAAAAGTGAGACTTACTCCACTCAACTGGTGGTTTGGCATTCAACCATCCATATGCCGCCGGGCTAACGGCTTCCATCTTCGCCATCCAGTACTTGAAAGACGCCAAATGGCTTGCTT